TTATATTATATTTGTTTAACTGTATGTAAGATGATTTCATATCAGCAGAGCTGAATGCTGATGTGATTTTTAGTGAAAGGGGGTAAAGGTCCACTTTAAGGGGTAGGGACTTCCACTGCATGCAACTGCATTGTGTATAGTGGTTAGTTTGTCGACCAGAACCCACAGAAGCAAGACAATTTCTATTTACAGAGTCAAACAGGTTTTCCAAAATGAAAAAAAGTTAAAAATATATATTTGTTTAACTGATGAATATAAGATGATTTTAGATCAGCAGGCACGTTGAGGTGATTTTTAGTGAAAAGGAGGGGGGGTAACGCTCAACTTAAAAAAATAAATTAAATGTAAAAAAAAAAAAGGCAACAATTAGAATCTAACAATAGGTAGAACTCAATGGACTTGTGTTTTTTTTTCAACCTATGTAACTATGAGACGGAAACATAACAGAAATGCAAAGCCTAGAGCTTAGGTTAAAGATAAATGAAGTCTAAACAAAACATTTCCAATACCTGTCTTGGGGTTTCATGTTGTCAGTGTTGTTGGCTTCCCTTATCTTTGTACTTCTTCCTGTTACATGGAAAACAGAAATAATCATCATAATCCTGCCAATGTTTGAATGTGCAGTGCGTGGAATTTATACCCGACATCCAAAATACATTCACAGGGTGTAATACAAAACAGAATGATTAGTACATCAAACTCTGTCTGTTCTAATGACCACGCCGTTTTCCAAATTGTTCCATGAAGAGGAAAAAACCCCCAAAAAACACAGACCCTTGTTAGACAGCCGCCAATTCTTCCTCATATTCCATGTGTCCCCATCAATCAAAGAGCTAGATTAGAGGAAACCTGTCACGATAAGATATATGGGAGCTGCCCCTACCAATGGTTTTTCAAAGATCAGGATCTGAGGCGGAGATCTTCATCCTTGCTTCATTAACTTAACATTAAGAAACTAATTTGCAGGTTGGAAGCCAGCGTCAATGCAAAGAGAACACATACAAGCAGCACTGGTCAGGGAAGGAATAAGCCGGGTGCTTGCCGCTGGGAGCACGTCCTCACTCCAATATGAGCCCATACAAAACAGAAGAAAAGCAGGCGGCACATCGGATTCTGCAGAAATAGTTTATTTTAGGACATCACTGGTGTCCGGTCCAAGGTCCGCCCCCTTTGATGCGCTTCATCCAATCATAGGTGTAGTCCGATCTCTATGACTAAGCTAGAGAAACTGCAAACAGCTCGAATAATCACCTCCAATTGTGATTGGTGCAGTACCTCTTCTATGCCACAAGATGTCCTCAGTCTCCCAATGACACAACCCAGAACTCATAATCTGAAAACATGCAGTCCATCCACTTCTGCAGCCAAACTGGGATGACGCCTACTTTCTATTTGTTACATGTCCCCATTCACATAACAAAGAAGAAATAAAATCCCTGCTTGACTTTTTACATGCTCTTTCTGAAAACTCCAGGACAACAAAATCCTGCATAGTTCTCACATGCCATGCAATGTTTATATTAACCCTATCTGTACTGTTGTGGCTAGGGAAGCACCAATACCAGTTTTTCGGTATCGAGTACCGATATATTTTTTTTAGGGTACTTGCCGATACTGAATGCCGATACCAGAAGTCCCATTAAGGCAGCTGGGCGGTGTGTAATTCCTGATTATCCGAGAAGCCGTCTCCATGCCCCTTCGGCATCAGGTGATGAGGAAGTATAGAGCCCGCTTCCTGGCCAACCAGGAAGGCAGGTGGCAAGTCATTACACGGCGCCCAGCTTCCTGATTAGCCGGGAAGCCAGCTCCAAGCTCCCTGGTGATGGGGGGAGCATGGAGCCGGCTTCCCGGCCTTTCAGGAAGCTGGACATGACTTGCCACCCGGCTTCTTGATATTGGAAGATCTGATACTTATCCCGACACCGGGAGCATTTGGGAGTGTACGAGTAACCCTAACCCCAAATACACAGTATCTGCACTGATACCGATACTGGTATCGGTGATTCCCTAGTAATGGCAGATTTCATTAACAGTTCACTAGATTAGAAGGACCGTCTGTCCTAACAAAGGGTTAAAGATTTCAGGACATAGTATGTTAAATGCACTGTCACTTAAGTAGGGTATACACTGTTAGAATTTTGAACAAAAATCTATTTTGGAACGTTTGCTCAATTTTCAAGTTTGACATGTTTGGTGTCCATTTACCCGATGTGACCCCGTCTTTTATAGTTTACCAAAAATATGGGTAAGAATAAATGTTTTATAACATAACTTGGGGAAAACAGTTTTTTCCCCCGAAATTTACTGTACTTTTTTCATTATATAGTAAAAAATAAAACACACCCCCCTTGGTGATTATATACCTCCAAAAGAAAGCTCTCTCTCTCCCCAAAAAATGCTAATACAAATTACAATAGTCCGGTCATTAATTTTTTCAAGCCCTGTTCAAAGTACAATCATTGGTATGTGTAGCAGCCAATCACAGATTAGTTATTAGTCCCCACGCTCAGCTCAGCTCACCTCCCTGATTAAAGCACTGAAATCAATGTACCATAAAAATGAAATAAAGCTCCTCCTGCCACGGAATATACTGAAAGAGTTACATCGCTTCCAGATGGCAAAGTGAATCATATGACAATTCCGTGTAGGCGACAGACTGGAAGAAAATGCTGAGCGAAGACATGCGTCACCCAGATTACACCGGGATCCAGTGACAGCACATCTATATATACACATACAGAGGAACATACATAGGACGCACTTGGATTTAAAGTGGATTTCGACTTTGGCAGCCAAGCTGGGATAACATCTATTTTATATTTCTTACATGTTTCCCATTCACAATCTATAACTTGAAGCTTTTTTTTTTCGTTACTTCCGCTAGCATGGAGCCAGCTTCCCGGGTAATCAAGAAGCTGGGTGGCAGGTAGCCGCCTTGCTTCTTGATTGCTCGGGAAGCCGACTCAATGCTGATTGGCCAGGAAGCAGGCATCCCAGCCAATCAGCATTGAGCTGGCAAAGTGCAGAGATTCACAGGACAAACAGCTTTGTGAATTGCTTATAAAACAGACTTGTATGTATTATACGCAGGGCTTGAAAAATTTTAGGATGTCTCACCAGTCAGTCAAAAATGTCACCAGTCAGCATGACCGGACTATAGCCTTGCAATTTACTTTACTATTTATTTACTTTAATTTACTATATAATGAAAAAAGTACCGCAAATTTAGAAAAAAAAACGGTTTTCCCTACGTTATGTTAAAAAACATTTATTCTTACCCATATTTTTGGTAAAATATAGAAGACGGGGTCACTTCAGGTAAATAGACACCAAACATGTCAAGCCTTAAAATTGCGCGCACCAGCAAAATCACTAAAAACGACCACACCAATTGGTTATAGGCGACGCTTTAAAACCTTTAAACCGCCCATCAGTTAAGTGTTATCAGTAATTAATTGCCCTAAAATTATTACTCTCACTTTTGGGGGGACGCAAAAAAAATTAAAACAACATTTTTTTATCACTCTTTTTATTTTTTACACTTAACTTTATTGCCATCACATTGGGGGCTAAGAAGCCCCCTATGTGATAGCCAATTTACACGACAGGTCCTCTTTATGGAGATATCAGGGTCTCCAAGACCCCTAATGTCACCTAGGGACCCTCAGAGAAGCTGATGAAACAGATCTGTTTCACCAGCCGCTGGAGCTCGTGTACAGAACTCCCTTTGATCTCCTGTCACAGACCAGCCGTGCTGGTCCCGGACGCACTGGGCACAGCGGATCTTGGGATCAGCAGTGACAGCTGCTGCTAAAACAAGCAATCGGGCGTCTCTAAGGCCTCATTCACACTGCCGCGCATATACACACACGTACGTATTGTACCATATGCAACATATGCAAATAAATGGCTCCATACACACAGCCGCGTATGGAGCCGTATATTTGCGCAGCGTATATATATGCGCAAAAACAGAATGGAACAGAGATCCGTCCGGGCAGCGTATCTCTTTGTATTTACGAGCACATACAGCACATTAAAATTCCATTACGAGTGATGCATTCTGGGATTGCATATAGTGCGCGCATTAGACGCTCGTATATATGCGCATAGACGCTCGTATATACGCGCACAGACGCTCGTATATACGCGCACAGACGCTCGTAAACACGCGCATAGACGCAATATACAATTTTGCTTGCGATGTGTGTGAATGAGGCCTAAAGACGCCCGATCGCTTGAATGTAAAGCTCCCGGCCGTGTAATTACAACGGCCAGACAGGAAGCTACTCACCCGGCTCTGCAGATTGCGTGACAACATTACTGTACACCTGCTAATCATTGTGTTCAGAATCTTATCCGACTGCAACTGCCTTTATCTGCGGTAATCTCAGGTCTCACAAACCTAATTAGAAGGCCCCAGTCTTGTAAATAGATTTCTACTGATAACGAAATGTCACACCGCAACATCAAAAGGTAAAAAGAAACCACTTTCCTTCCTATTAAAGCTCCATGATCTGAGCAAAAACAATTCTGTGCTCCTTTCTGAAGCGGGGGGAGTTGCTGAAATGCAAATTCCCAATGGAGAATAAAGTTGCTCATGTTCCCTGCCATGTGAATGTCACACCTAACTGAAAGACATTTCCTTTTCTGATGCACTGTGCACAGGGGCGTCCCGAGGCTGGGTGTCACCCGGAGCAGAGACCGGGTGACACCCTGCCATGACGTCATCGCACATGCGCGGCCGGCTTATTGGGACAGAGAGGAGGGGACATTCACCCGGCGGAATGAGGTATGCTGCCGGGTCCCCTCCTCTCTCCTGACACTGTTGGGCTCTCGGTCCGTGACCGAGTGCCCGACTTTTCATAGGGAGGGGTGACACCAAAATGTCTGTCATTTTGGTGTCACCCCTCCAATGGTGGCACCCGGGTGAGGGCCACACTCCCCCTGTGACGCCACTGACTGTGCAACATAGACAACGGTCTTCTTTTCATCCATGATGCATCTCTTTGCTGTGGATCTCCTGCAGCCTCATTACAGCCATCTTCTGTCTACGCGCACTCCAGCGACAGCTGCATTTCTCAAGGTGGGATTCCTGACAGTGACAACAGTGGACCATGTCTGTGTCATGCGTGTAGAAATGGCCACTTGTAGTCTGCATCAGAAGCTCAATAGGCAGGGTGACAGCTCGGGAGCACAATTGGCAGACAGGGAAAGAGCGCTGTAACCCTGTAACAGGAATGATCTGAACAAGGACCTTCATGGAGGATCACCAGGAATCATTTTAGTAAAAGCCGTAGATTTAGAAATGTTGAGTGACCATGCAGAGTGGTGCCAATCCTTGCCATTGTCGCCCATGATATGCTGAAGAGGAAGAATACCTCAGTGTCAAAGTGCGATGGGGTGCAATTTGAACTAAAAACAGCATCGCATGGCAATAATGCATACATTAAAGCAATGCACTGAATGAACCCTCCCGAAAAAATAAACACAATAACCCCCAATTTAACTGTTTTGCTAATTGTGTTTCCTGTAGAAGGTGGAACCAATCATCTCTCAGGTTGCTG